TATTATTTTAGAACGTTTGTTGAGCCTATGTCTAGGCTATTTGGTCAGTTAAGACATGCGAAATCCAGGCAAATTGATATAGATTCGCCAATTTCTGTTGGCTGTCCAAAACAGTTAGTTGAGACTTGTCGATAAGTATTTTATCAGAGCACATAAGTACAATTGAACATATTTACATGATATCACATATTTTTCGCTTTAGCTGGCAAGTATAAACCAATATGCAATGAAATAAGTCTCTTGAACTCCAGCAGGGCTCGACTCAAATGGATCCCGCTAGTGATGGAAAATGAAGAGGTACCCAGTTTTAGAGTTTTCTACTTTCATGATGGCGCCCTCTCAATGACACCCACCTCTGAAAACGTATTGGAAATTCCTGTCAATGAGAACGACACTATGATCAGAGCAGTTGTGAGAAATGTTGCCGAATCTGACGTTTGGACAGGTGAATACAAAGAGGATCCGAATGAATGCAAATTCAACTCGAAACGAAGTAATGACTGCATTTTTCGTGTTATTTTATCCTTTAAAATCCGTCACATTACTTGGCAAAAATTGTTTGCCCGAAATGTTATTTAGCCATTGCCTTAGCCTAAGTCGTTGGTCGAAAAATATCCGACGTTAGTATTCTAAATGAGATAGTGAGGCAAAAGGGGGTTTCCATTGACAGATGGAAAGTGGTGGAATCGATGAGGATGTGTGGGAAATTCTCTGAACTCTACTCGGGTGCACTGGAATTAATCGATGTTCATACTTCACTAAGCACAATCTCACAGACGATACAACTAATTTCCATATCGATGCCACTTGGCGAATGTACTCATGCCATGATGAAAGAGCAGAATTAACTGATCATTTCCTTTCTTTCCCCTTTCAGCTGACACTTTTCGACATCAGCTCTCTGATCCAGACAAGGAGGGTAAATATTTTTCTTGAACTACATATCACTAATCAATTTAACGTTATAATGCAAAAAATCGTGTTGTCAAACCAAAGAGCTTTAATGTGAAATTGGAATGGAAGGTTTATTCTGATTACTGTAGTAGTTAAAATATAAAATGAAGGATGTGGTTATAATGAGGTGAAATGTAGGACTGGTGAATCACCTGTTTCAAAATCTTGAGATAGAAAGTGACTGAGTGTGTAAGCGATGTGATCAATAATTTTGAGAGATGAAAGACACTGACGTATCATTAAACTAATATGGTGAAAAGCGCATGAAGAAATTAAGTGAAGTTTGATTTAGAAAGAAGAACAACTAAAATATGCTAGCAGAAAGTGGAAAAATTGAAAGTGTGTAGAAAACCACGTCAAGGCATCAAGAGTCGTTCGCAAATTTCACATTTTGGAATAAAATGTTTTGCTTAGCGGTGTCGTTCTACTTGAATTCTTTCATCTTACTTAATGTCTGTGCATTGATACAAATCGATTAGTGGTCTACTATCTCACCAACCACCACCTTTGACCATATCACAAATTCATTTTTACACTTATTTTCAAATAATCTGTTCATTAATCACTTTAGATATTCATGCGCCAACAAACATTTCTTTACTTCCTGCTAATCAAACTACCGTTGAGGTGACTTGGCAAAGTCCAAAATTGGACCCAAGAGAGATACATGGTTATCAGATTCGTTATAATTACGGTAATGGAATCAATACCACAACTGCAGCAACAAACATTCTCAAACTCGCATTGCCCATAGAGGGTGATCCCATTGGTATCGAGGTCAAAGTTGGAACAATTAGAATGATTAACCAACCAAAAACAAGTCAAGGGGATGGTGCGTTTGTGTTTTATCATCAATGAATAAAATTTTCCTTTAAATATTAATATACCTATTACTTAAATCTGATAAAAATTCATCTTTCAAGGGTTCACTTGAGTCGTTCTTCTGCATGATCCACATTTGTGAATAATCCCACTACCGTATTAACGAAGTGAAGGGAGGAATGTATGGTGCCAAAAATAAATATGCATCTGATCTGATGAATAGTTGGTATCAGTTTCTTTTCAAAGTCTTCCTGAAAATCACTCACTGTTCGATTGGAGTTGAAGATATGGATGCTCTCGTAATTTAAGAAGTTGAATGGTTAGATCCTGTATTGGTTGTCACTAAATGCAGTTCATATTGTGAGCAGTCCTTTGATTGCATGCAAACTTGTAAATGAATGTCTCTTTTGATGAATGTAGTGGTTGCAATGCCAAATGTAGGAAGAGATTGTATTGAGGTGTAACGTGGGTTTGAAGAGTCACAACTTTCGAAATCTTGAGAGAGACAGAGAGGCTGATAGCTCGCTCCGAGCACTAAAATGTCTACTGTGGGACAGAAATTGGGGCGATTGGTTGCCATGGATAAGGGTTGAGAATACATGAGTCATGTGAATATGGTCAATAAATTTGGAGGTAATGCAGACTCAGAGGAGTAATTTGGAAGGACATCATAAATGAAGTGTGCAAATCCTAATACATGTCCCTGAAGTGGCGCACTTACCTTTCAACAGTTTCCAATGCTACTTCTCTGGTTTTACCTCAAGATAATTGGTCGTGCCTATTGAATTCCTCTGACTTATTTGTGCGTGGCTTAGGGAGAGTTCTTTTAAAGGAAAATTTCTTTTCTAACTCGTCTTTTCCATGGGAAGACGTAAACGAATGAATTTCGTGAACAATAATACCAACTTCATATCGTTATTTCTGCAGTGGAAATACTGTTAAGAAATAAATCATGGATGGACT